CTGTGATTTTGATGTTTTTTCTTGTGTATGTGTGCCATAGTGAGTTTGCCAAAGAAAGGGAGCGTGTGGAGAACAGAAGTGAGTTTCTAAAGCTGAAGCGTCAGCAGCAGATAGAGAGAGAGCTGAACGGATATCTGGAGTGGATCTGCAAAGCAGGTAAATACCATAGAAAGAGCCACTGAATGCCCCAGAGAGTAGCTAAAGCCATGAATACAGATAGAAGCTTTTCTCTTGTGATACAGTTGTCTCTGTACCTGTATGTGCTAGTCAGGAAAAGTGCTGTGAAAGTAGTTTTAACTGAATTGTGTTTGTTTTTTTATAGAAGAGGTGATTCTGGCTGATGAGGACAATGACCCAGATGATCGAATGCCCTTTGACGGTATTTACTTGAACTCCTCCATCCTTCCCTTTCCACCCCCCGCTGTCTCTTCTTCTTCCCTCACTGGGACTAGGTGTAGATTTCTCTTTTGTGAAGGAAGAAAGATATCAATAGCATGTTGGCTTTGCTGAGGGAGGGATATTGTACACTATATGTCCTTAAGTGCACTTACTTTACTGTTTCTAAGCACATTAATGTATATAGTTCGTAGCAAACATGACTAAAAGTGAACCCTGTGATAAATATTTCTTCAGTTTTCAACTGAGGTGTTTTCACCAACAGCAAAGTATTGATTGATCACACACAGATTTGATTTTAATATGTTTGGGTTTATATAGCTTCATACCCCCTAGAGTTTAATAACATATAAAATATGTAATAATGTTTTGGCACTCTTTGTTTTAAATCTAATGTTGATAACTCCACTGAACACCAAATGGAATGGTTATAGTGGGATTTAGTGGGGGGAGTTTAATTTCTTTCCCTCTAAAAATCAGACCAAAAGTAGGCAAGAAAATTGGTCCAAGACCTCCTCGAGGAGGTGGTCTCAATACAGTTCCAAACCAACTTTAGAGCTGTTAATTTGTGGTGAGAACAACGTTGAACTGTGATCCGAACTAAAACAAATGAATGTGACAAAAACAAATACAGCCAACGTACTCACTTGAGTGTGGCATCATGAGTTGGCGTGTGTGTGTTTACAAAGCAGTGTATATTATGGCAGCTCAGGGTCAAACTAAGAGTAGTTTGTAATTCGAGCATCATTTGCAACATGCATCATAAACGATTAACACCAACAATGTAGTGAAAGATGCCAAGAGTCAAAATCAAGCAGTGACTTTTGTCCATTTTGAGCATATTCAATCAAAAAGCAGTCGATGAAATATGTACGATGACAATGAATGGCCCGTACGATGTCACTTGGCTGTACTTTCAACAAGTAAGGATCTGAGCGATCAGTGGGTGTGATTGATAACTAAACCTTCAGACGATGCATCAGTTGTTCCTCTTGGTCCAAACCAAATTAAACGAATTAGAGAACTTGTAACACACTTGACGTTGTTGAGATAAAGGCTCTGTGGGAGCCATTTCTGGCCAGAAATCTCAGGACGGTAGATGGGTGTACCTGTGTCTTCCAGCTCTTAGCTCCTAACAATCCCCCAAAACACTAATTTGCAGTTTACAAACTGTTCTGTGTTTGCTCCTTGATTAAAAATACTTGATCAACAAAGCTCACTCCACTCAAACCATGACTGCTGCACATGTTTCCAGATGAGCTCATTTTAAGGGTTATATGCGTGATGCATATTGCATCTACTTCACAGGTTTCCTTGGTTGACCAAAACGTAACCAATTCTCAATGTTTGTCGTTTGTTTGTCCTTGAAACCCCAGTCTTCTTTGAATTCTTCATAGACATTTTTGATACATTTCAATTACCTTGTGTCAGGTTACTGAACTGTCAATCTCACCTTGATAGCTGAGTCATTTCCTTGTGTTAATCCTCTCACACGGCTGTTTCTGTTTCAGTTCATGACTGGGATTTAATCTACATGTGACATTGATGATAGTTACACCTACATCACTGACTTTGTGAAAATGTACTTATAATGATCGATGCTGGTTTGAAGGCAAAAGGCAAATGTGGACTGGATTCAATCTCTCTTTTATTATTTACATAATCTCTCTTTGTTTATTTATATAATTTGCCATTAAATCTGCATTCAGTTTTGAGTGGTAGTATACATTTAACATTTAAGTTGCTGACTCTATGTATGCTTCTGGTGGTAAAATGTTTTTTTTGTTGTAATGTTTTCAGGCTCACGAAGGAGACCAACCATAAAGAAGAGTAAAACAGACCTACTCGACGCAGAGGATGGAGATGGAGATATAGGTGCAAATTAAAAGAAGCTTGCACAATGATCTTTTTAAAGGGTTTACATGTTGTGTGATTTTAACGGTTTCAATGTCAGTTGCTTCCTATTTTATATCAAGGAGTGCATGAGGTTCCAAAAGTAATTCTACATCTATTACTGAGCAGAACATTTCCTTCTGTCAGGTTCTCCATTTGCGCGGGGCAGTCTGAAAAGCTCTAAACTGGAGGGCTCTTCCTTCCATAAAAAGGAGCGTCGCCTGAGATTCTTCATCAGGAGAATAGTGAAGACGCAAGCCTTCTACTGGATTGTTCTGTGTCTGGTGGGACTCAACACACTGTGTGTGGCTGTCGTGCATTACGACCAGCCTGAGCTGCTCTCTGATTTCCTTTGTAAGTCCTTCCTCCAGTCCACGCACTCATTAACAAGCCATAAATCAGTACATTTTTGCAGAGTTTCTTTGTTTCAATTCAATATAGTTAAAGATGTAAATATTTATTTTGTACGCCTGCTTTAAATCTAATGATCGTCATCATTCTGAACAGTGGGTTTATTTCTTTGAATTCTTTAGATGATTTCATTATTTCTCTCTTCTCCGTGCAGACTTTGCTGAGTTCATCTTCCTGGGTATCTTTATGTCTGAGATGTGTATAAAGATGTATGGACTGGGAACCAGACCTTATTTTCACTCCTCCTTCAACTGTTTTGACTGCATTGTGAGTGATTTTTTTTTTCCGTCTGTTCTTTTATAAGACAAAACAAGAGACAGATCAAAACACCATTGTGTAAACGGCAATGTTCTACCCTTTACTCATAGATATGTATTCACAAATAGCAACCACAAATAAAGTAAATTTTGTAATTTACATTTTTTTTGCTATGAAGACAATCATTTTATGTTGGTTTTCATGTAACAAATACACATTTATAATGTAACTGAAATGGCAAAAAAATGCTAGTTTTACATGAAAATGCGCCATAGTTAGCATCGATCATGATGCAAACGGCTGTATAAAACACAGCATTGTAAAAGTTGCAAATTTAAGAAATTTATGCTTTAGATTTCATGGCTTAAGTGCATAGGTCTGAATAAATTATTGTGGGTCACAAAAAATGCTAATTTTAAAGAAAAACATAGACTAATTCACAATATAGCCTCGTGTATAACATGTTTAAAAGTAATTTCAAATGTCAATAAATAATGATTTTTCAGGAAACAAAACGTCTAATTTATTCTATTTCTTTCTATTTGTTTATTATTTTATTTTTTATCTTTATAAGATGGTTGGTGGAGGAAATTTTGTCATTTTTGTTAGTTTTTCTATCTTTTCGCAATTTTTCAAATTTTTAAATTTTTTTACACAATATTTTTTTTACAGTGATTTATATTTTTTGTGATTTATAGTCTTAAAAAGGTATTACGACGTCTTTGACATTACACCTAGTGGTGTAGTGGACAGTCAACGGACATGTATGCGCGGTTGTGCAGGGCGACTTCTGATCCCATCATCATTTCCCATCCTTACATCTCTCTACCCACTTCTTTTCTGTTACAATGCTGTTCTGCACATTCACGTTTTTTGCAGGAACTTACAAGTCTAAAATAAATCTTAAAAATATCAGACATTCTCATAAAATAATAATAGGATTGGGCTCACAGGTTGTGCATTCGGGTTCCAAAGAGTTTTTGTGGCTTATTGTTATTGAGTAAACTTTACTTTTTTTTTCTTTAATAAGTCTGACTGTGTTTGTGTTGTGGGACAGGTCATTTGTGGCAGCATTTTTGAGGTGCTCTGGGCAATGATCCAGCCAGGAACCTCTTTTGGGATCAGTGTGTTACGAGCTCTCAGGTTACTGAGGATCTTCAAAGTGACCAAGTGAGTCCCTTGCGACTTGATGTCTATCTCTGTCCCATTCTTTGTCCAGTATCATATGCACTTTCTCCCTTGAGAAGGATTGAGTGTCTAAAAGAAAAATCAATTCCTTTTTTAGATATTGGGCATCCCTGAGGAATCTGGTGGTGTCTTTGTTAAACTCCATGAAGTCCATCATCAGTTTACTCTTCCTCCTTTTCCTCTTCATTGTGGTCTTTGCTCTTTTGGGTATGCAGCTGTTTGGAGGACAGTACGTATAAGATGCATTTGTTTTCAAAACATATCTATGTGTTATAAAATAAAATTCTTATCGCAAACTGTTCTATTCAGGTTTAATTTTGAAGCTGGCACACCACCAACAAACTTTGATACGTTTCCTGCAGCAATAATGACAGTCTTTCAGGTGAGAATATTCCATTAATGTGGAATTGAGTGTCCTTTTAATTTATGATCACTGACTTTATTTCTCTGTCTGTTAGATTCTGACGGGTGAAGACTGGAACATGGTCATGTATGATGGGATTGAGTCTCAGGGTGGTGTCAGAACGGGCATGGTCTTCTCAGTCTTCTTCATCGTTCTTACTCTCTTTGGCAACTGTATCCAGACACATAAAACTCATGTCTGTAATGTTTGAGTATTGAAATGCTTTTGCTGTTTATTAGTTGCATCAACATTGAAGTTATTATATTTGACAGACTGAGAATATTTAGTTATGTGATTAAAAAGGAACTTAATTGTGAGGTTTTCTAATTAGATCCCAGTGATTCCTAGTGAGAATTATACACAATAATTATATGAAGAATTTGGTCACAAGATGCAATAAATTGAGAACAAAGGCCTTTTCTTCCAAATGAAAAGGTTGTCATGAAAACTGGAGGACCAGGAGAGGTTTGACCTTGGATCACCGGATTCATAGTCCAGAGTGCTAACCATTAAACCATAGCCCCGCACTGGCACCAGAAAAGCACACTTGAGTTGGTGCACCATCTCTGGATTTAGTGCTAGATTACTATTAAAACATAGAACCACATTTGCTAAACAAACCTCAAGTGTGTGGACCATGTCAAACCAGCTATTAAAAGGTAAACATTAACCTTTAGACGTCTGTGGCCTTTTTGATCATTTTACTACTTTGCTACAAATTACCTTTAAAACAGATTTTTGTCGCAATGCTTGATATAATTTTTAGTACAACCCCAGCTGCTTTTTTACCAAAGATTTTTGGTAATATTTCCCCAACAAACAGTTCTGAGTATTACTTTTTGTCATTTTTACACTGCAAAAGTGTTGAGACAAAATTAAAAAAGACATCAAAGGTCAAAACAATGTGCTTTTTCATAAAAAAAACAAACCTCTCCTAAATTTTTGTGCCATCGTGCTTTTTTTTTTTGTGCCAGAAAAACACAAACCATATTCCAAAACACACCTTCTAAGTACAATACCTGTGATAGTGGTTCTTTTCAACCCTAGATGGCACTGATTTGGGGTTTGTATAATGAAACTGGTCACACATTTTTTCACATTTCGCATAATTCCCACTAAATTCAAGCCGATATGTTCGGCCTACGCACAGGTGCGTGCCAGAAACTTCTAAGGGTTCAATTCTTCTTTTTTCAAAGAGTTTTACCGTGTTTTGTCATTCAAACAAGATAAAGGTCAGGTTCTACAGAGATTTTGAACTCTGATTGCTGGATTCATAGTCCAGAGTGCTAACCATTACACCATACTGTCAAAGCAAACATGAGTGAGTTGGTGGACCATCTCAAACCTGTATTAACTAGGTAAACAGAGACTAGCAGGGATAGCACAAGAAGAAGATGTATTGTATGTCCAAAACTGCATCTTGGCGCAAATCTGCTTTTTAATTGGTAGTCTATGAAGTTTCCGCAAACATGGAGGTAATGTGGCTTGGAGAGCGCATGAAGACTGCAGCCTTCTCAACTAATGTGCTACAGTGTTAGAACGTGCAGCATTTCTTTTTCCCACCACTCCTGTATGATACTGTTTTACAATTGACCACTGAAAATCCTCTTGGTTCGGTTATTGTTTGGGCTTCTTGCAGATTGTCCATGTTCTCTCATAAATTTGGCACAATTCCTAACCTTCCTTAACTCTCCTGTAATCAGACACACTGCTAAATGTGTTCTTAGCCATCGCCGTGGACAACCTGGCCAATGCACAAGAGCTGACAAAGGTAAACTTTTATAAATATTTAAATTCTTCGACAAACCAGAGCGCTTTCAAGCTCCACGATGTGAAAATGAGGCCTTAATGTAAAAGGAAGTCTTTAATCTCTGTATCTTAAAATGGAAGCATCGTTATACCAGATAATGCATCTAGGTGAATTACAGCAGAAAACAATCAAGAGGATGAAGCTTCAAAATCAAAATGCTCCACATCAAAATCATTTAAACAAATGTGAGAATCTGAGCATCTCTTAACGTAATTATTCTGGTTCACAAATCTTGCTTAAATGAATTTAAGGGTGTTCAAGAATGTTTCCGCACAGTACTATGTTTGGTGATCATTAAAAGATGGAAGTCTCCAATAATGCTCGAAATGTGAAATTCCATTATTTTCATTCTTTGACTCATGGATATGAATTTTAGTCACCAGGTTTTTATGGCAAACATTCAGCTGAATGTACATAGTGTAATAATTCTCCTTGGAGATACTGGCAACAAGGGTAGGGTGGCTGTAGTTTCAGAACACTGATGTACACTCAGCGTTTTAACATTTTTTTGTGTTGATGAAATGTTTTTGTGTTTTTAATGTGAAACAACATATAAACAAAAGGAAAACCTATACAAAGCTTTACAAAGTTTTACAAATGTTCGTAGAATTACAATCAGGCAATGAACCACCAGTTATACCAAAAAGCTGGTAATGATCATCAATGACACCTAGGTTGCCAGATAATCACATAGTCACATGCATCTCTGGCACTGAATCAGACACTCTTTCTCATTGTTTTCCCATCAAACGCTCAGATTTCAGTGTGTATTCCGCATTAACTAATATTGTTTTTCCATCTATAGGATGAACAGGAGGAAGAGCAGGCAGCCAATCAGAAAATGGCTCTTCAGACAGCCAAGGAAGTTGCTGAGGTCAGCCCACTGTCTGCAACCAACCTCTCCATTGCAGCGTGAGTATCCCTCTTTCTGTCTCTCAGTTTCTTTGTTTTGAAATGAAATGAAATATCTACTTGCACTTCTAATGTTTTTTTAGTATTTGATCACTCATTTTCTAAACCTGACATGTTCAGTCATTCCTTTGAGGGCGGACTTCAGCATCTTGTTCTAAAGCATCATCATGAATTATCATATCATCAGAAATATGATATTTTAAAAGCAAAGTCACTGTTCTTCTGGTTGTCGTCACGTTAGGGTTCACCCTCGGACAAGTTTCACATGGTCCGGTAGTAAGTGAGGTGTGCACATGTGTTTGGTGAGCACCAGGTCTCATAGCGACTGTTGTCAAATCAAACCTGTTGGGATTCTTGGGAAACTCAGACCCTGAGTTTCAGGGCCAATGCCGGGCCAATCCATCATCTTGCTGTAACTCTTCTTTGGCATAACGGTCTGCCTTTTGGTCATCTCGCTGGTTCAACGCTCTCTTTTGAGGATCCGTAGTCAGTAAGTGTTGGCAGGAAAGTGACCCACCTCATTTGTTTTTCGACCTCTTCCCTTACTTTCAGCTGCTTTTAAGGGGTGCTGTCCTAAACACATACCATATTTAAACCAATCAATCCAGAGACACATTGACGTTCGTTCAAGCTATCCCACCCCCCACATCTTCACCACACTAAGGGGGCTTTACGGGTCCGGGTCACTCCTTTGCAAACGACTTACCCAGGCAGGTTACCTAGTACACCTCTCTTCAACTCGCCATATATACCTGTGATAGTAGGCTGCTTCATGTTAGCTAACTAATAAAAATGAAATTCACTGAAAAATAACCGGCTGCATGCGCTCTCTGCCCCACTCGCACTTTGGTAAATGAAAACAGGAAGTAGTCAACAGAGGGAGGGCTCTGAATTGGTACCAGGAATACATGGGATTTTGCTGTTAACCACCTTTTTTCAGAAGGACTGAAAAATCAGGAACTGAGATAATGATTTTGTACGGAGTAGACTGTTTCTTTTTTTTTTTCCAAGCACCTGAGACAGGGCAACTTTTCAAAGCCACACAACTCTGCTACATTCATTTAAACTCCATTTTCCAGTGCTCCTTGTCCTTCAGTAATTGTCATTTGCAAGGCAGTGCCCTCTGGATTTTATTGCATGTAAGGGTTAATACTTTGGTTGCCAAAACGTGACTGTCAATAAATTCAGAATACTGATCAACAAAGCTATTTATATTTTGCTATTTCTACTTTTTATGGTGATCAGTAACAGAAATTAAAAGAAAACAAAACAATACTTAGTTTAGAAGAAAATAGACCTTATGTGTTCAGTATTTATTTTAAAGTATGTTTTGTAATCAAAAAGATTTTCACATTTTTCACGAATGTAAATGGTTATTCTCTTCAGTTTGTCATATGTGTGAATTGGTGTTAAAATGCATCTATGGTTTTAGTCATAAGAAACCTTCAATAAGGAGAGCTTAATGTGGATGTCAGTTAGTGTGTGACTAGAGGAGAAGGGCAAAGAGAAGATTGTGTTTCTCACATGCTGTTTCCCTCCTCAGCGTGACGGTAAACTCTGAGCGTCTCAACGCAACAGAACACTTTCTGGACTGGTACTTATCCATTTATACTTTCTCTGTTCTTTTGAAGCGCCTATCTGTTCGCCCAACACTCCCACTCTTCTCCCATCCGCCTGTTTTCGACGTGTACTTTTCCTCCTCAGTTCCCTGCTCTGTTCTCCAGGGGGCTGGGTGGGATGAGATGGGATGGGACAGGTTTTGCCACCCTTTGTCTTTTCTTCATCATGCTACTCATCACCTGCTCTTACCTCCTTTCTTGCTCTCGTTCACACGCTTTGCTCCAAGGGTTGGGGGCCTGTGACGTTTTAACTTCCTGAAAATTACTATCTTCTGTCTGTTTGTTTCTGTGGGTGAGTTTGACTCAGGCGGTGTGAGCGTCCTTTTTTACCAGTTGTAGTTTGTAGATGCTCCGTGGGGTTTTACCAACTTTAGTTCCCTCTTGATGATTTCCAGTCTCAGATCTGTTTTTAAATATCTATCTCTCCACCTGCCTCTCTCTTTTCTACAGTAGGGAGCAACAGAAGAACCACAAAGGTGTAAAATCAGTGTGGGAACAGCGCACTAGTGAACTAAGACGACAGACTCTGATGAACAGCAGAGAAGCTCTGTACAATGAGTTGGACCCTGAAGATCGCTGGAAGGTGAAAAAAATATAATATTTTCACTTCATTTATAAGCTCATGGTATTTTAAATAATTCCCTGGCTTATAACAGGTCTCCTACTCACGTCACATTCGTCCCGATATGAAGACCCACCTGGACCGACCATTGGTGGTAGACCCTCAGGAGAACCGCAATAACAATACCAACAAAACTCGTCCGGGTAACAACCAGCCTCAGCGTTCTCTTCAGCTTCTTCACAAACAGTCAAACTTCAGCGAGGTGGAAAGTAGAGGAGGATCCGAGTCCTGGCCAGCATTGGAAAGAGGAGACTCCACTGGCTCGCAGCGAAGTCTTTTGGGCTCTGAGCATTATGGGGAGGGTCAAGAGCCACAACACAGACATCAACACCGTAAAGCTCCTGAGAAAGAGGGGCAGTCCACAGGGAGGAGGCACAGAGGTAAAGGCAGGGAAAAAGGAACTGATTGTGAACACACAGATGGAGGTGAGCGGAAACATAGACGTCATCGCCATGAAGGTGAAGGGAGGAAAGAAAGAGGGCTGCGGCATCGAACCAGAAAGTGCGTCCCTTTTAAATCTTTTGGAATATTACTTCATATGTGACTTTGATGTAACAAACCTTGATAACTCCTCCCGAAACTTGTTAATAATAACCATTTAAGCTTGTTACCACTCCCTTGTATACCCAGCCAATGCGCCTTTAAATGGGTTATTTAATAGATAAACTGAAAAGTGATTTGTTCTTTTTATATTTATGGAATAACAAAGGGACTATCTGCAAGGTCCTAGCCCTTTGTCCAAAACAGACTCTTTTAGTTTGGTCTTCACCTGCGTTCACCAACATTTCTATTTGTGTCACCTGATATTTGTGATTCACCTGACAGTAATATTCTGAAATAGCATAAATGTGTCCGATTTTAGGAAATAGCTCAAATGTATCCATTTATATTGTATGATAAATAGAAAATAAAATGCGGCATTGCAGTAATTTTAATTTCAGAAATGTGTTAAAATGAAATTTTGTTGATTTTTGAATAAACACATTGGGTTATTTAGCCCAAATATACTTTTTTTTTTTTAAAATGCAAGAATATTTAATTATTTTTTTGTCTTTACATCAAAACAATTTCATTTATTATTTTATTTAATTTACAAAAAATGTATTCCATTTCTCCCAATTACCCCTAGCCCTTGAAAGCAAGTGCTAGAGGAAGTGCTGAAAATATACCCCTATGATATGGGACACCCCTACAAAGACAAATGGTTTTAAAGCATCAGCAAATGGATTCTTTTTTTGTAGTTTAGTGTCATGTTCATTACTAATGAGAATGAGAATTGGATTGAAAGTTATTGAAATATTTATCATAACCCATTACAGAAGATTCACGGTTTAAAAGGATTTAA